CCGGGGCGCCGAGATCGACGCGGGATCGACCCCCAGCTCCTGGCCCGTGCCATCCCCCTCGTCCTCTGCCCTCTTCCTCTTCCGTGAGGGCTCTTCCGTCCCCAGGTTGAGGTGCCTCCGCCGGTGGAAGGCGAGCTCCTCAACCTGGGCAGGGGTGAACATCTGTTGGCAGTCGCCCACCCCACAGGCTATAGTGTTATCATGGGCGTTCGCCCTGTGGAGTTGCCAGTCCCCCTGGCTCACAAACTGGGCAAGGCAGCGATAGGGCCGCCCGGGCACCCATCCTCTGGGTGGGTCAGCTGACATCTGGCAGACCTAAAAGAAAATAAAACTCTTACCTTCTCACCCTACTAGAAAGGTTTTTAGTATTTTTATACGAACCTCCCCTAGGATCTCAAGGTACTAGTTTTCTTTGATATTCAATTAATACATAAGTACTCGACAATATTGAACTAGAATGAACATCTTTTCATCCCTTTTTCAATCTATTCAAGTCTTTAAAAGTTAATCCTCTACGATCAAAAAAGGGCTAAAAGAAAGTTTATAAGGACGGGTACAAGCCATAAGCACAAGCTAAATCACTTTAAATACAATCGTGAAAGTAATATAGGATAAATGTACATGATAAGAATATTAAGGCACTTGACTCGACTTATGAAATCTGAAGTGAGACTACTCTATAACATAATCAGTCAGCCATTCAGGTTTCTTTCGGGTCCTTTGCCCTCTAGAGTTTTCAATAATTTCGGGAGCATTCTCAAAATCTGAGGATTGGGAATTCTCAACAGGGGTTTCCGTCTCTTGATCTAGACTCTCATTAGTATTTTGTGAAATGAATGTTTTGAGGCGGTCGTGGTGAATGACTCTTGTATCTCTCTCATTAATTTTAATTAGATACCTTAAATCATCTATTCTCTCCGCCACCTCATAGGGTCCATGCCACTTTAGAGCAAACTTAGGAGTCTGGCCAACCTTCACAGCTGGTATATGGACCCAAACACGTGATCCCTTTTTGAATGACTTTAAATTTGCTTTGACATCATACCCTCTCTTCTGTCGGTCACTAGATAATTTGATATTGCCGCGAGCCGCCTCGTGAATATTGAGTAGAACTTCTTGTAATTTCTCACAGTATTTTGTATGACATGTGCTATCAAGTTCTCCCCTCTCAATTTCAGGAGGAAGCCCGAGCAACAGATCGGTGGAGGTCCGAACCTCCCTTCCGAACATCAGAAAATTTGGGCTGTAGCCAGTAGTAGCATGAACAGCACTGTTGTAAGCAGAAACAACAAAGGGGAGACATCGGTCCCAGTCCCTCTGATCAGATGCAACAATTTTAGACAACATAGCCTCCACAGTCCTGTTTGATCTTTCTACCATACCATCAGACTGTGGATGATATGGAGTTGTTCTTGTCTTACTCATGCGGAACATTCCACATAATTCTTTAAATAGTTTTGATTCAAACTGGGCACCTTGATCGGAATGAATTTGAAGAGGTGACCCATAAATACAAATGAAATGATGCAGCAAAGCTTCTGCCACGGTGGCAGCTTCTTGATTAGGGACAGGAACCAATGCCAAGACCTTTGTGAAATAATCTTCAATTGATACCACATACTTGTTCCCCAACAGACTTTCTGGTAAAACCCCCAAAATATCAATGGCTATTCTCTCAAGAGGGGCACCCACATTGTATTGTTTCATTGGTGTTCGATGTTTCTTATTGGGTGGATTTCTCCTCTGACACAAAAGGCAACCCGCTACCCATCTAGCAAGGTCGGACTTGAAACCAACCCAATAGTATTTGGCCCTCAAACGATCAAGAGATTTATTGACCCCAAAATGCCCACTGTCAAGAGCCCCATGAGTCATTTCTAAAATGGTTTGGCGCATGCCTTCAGGCACCACAATTTGCCAGCTAATGATCCCAGTGTCAGTATCTACCCATTTCCGATAAATAATTCCCTGTTCCAATTTGAACCTGTCCCACTGAGACCAGTAATGTTTAAAGGTAGGTGATTTGTCTGATACGTCTGCCCAGTCAGGTCGGTTCCCCACCTTAAGCCAATTTTTGATTGTTAAAAGACATGGATCCTGAGCCAAGGCCTCTTCATACTCTTTGAGAGATATTCCCGGTGCCCAAGTGCACCCTGAAACAGGAAGATTCCTCAATTTGGGAGTATGAACAAGCTCTGGCTCTAAGTTTGAGTCAAAGATCACGTCAAAACTTCTAAGAAGCAAGTTAGCCTCAGGATCAGTCAAGGCTTCCTCCTTCCCAGGAACTCTACCCAGTTTCTCTTGTCTTTCGCAATATGCACAGTCAGTACAGGGACGTCTAGACATTCCGTCGGCGTTCAGATGTTTTGTACCAGGTCGATGTTCAATTTTGAAGTCATATTGCCCCAATAACTCTAACCACCGGGCAATCTGTCCTTCAGGATGTTTAAACCTCAACAACCAAGCCAAAGAGCCATGATCCGTTCTGACTTTGAAACGACTGCCGTAAAGGTAATGGTGAAACACTTTAACAGCCCTCACTATAGCCAACAATTCCAATCTAGTGACACAATAGTTACGCTCAGGTTTGGACAATGATTTGCTATAATGACTGACAACTTTCATTTCCCCATCAACTTCCTGTTGTAACACAGCACCAACCTGACAAGCAGAAGCATCAGTATCCAAGATAAACTCTTTGGACTTATCTGGGTAAGCCAACAATGCAGAACTCAAATAAAGTCTCTTCAATTCCTCAAAGGCAAATTGACAATCCCCTGACCAGACAAATGGAACACCTTTCTCAGTAAGTTTGAACAAGGGTCTAGCCAGTCCTGAAAAACCCGGAATGAACTTCCTATAATAAGAACAGTAGCCCACAAAGGACTGGATTTGTTTCACAGTACGAGGAACAGGCCAATTCACAATCCCCTCAGTTTTCTTTGGATCAATTTTTACTCCATCTTCAGACACAACATGACCCAAATAGGATACTTCTTTCTGAAACAACTTACATTTTTTCGGGGACAATTTCAACTCAGAACTTCTCAATTTTTTAAAGACTTGACCTAATTTTTCCAAATGACTTTCAACGTCCTGACTGAATACAATTATATCATCGAGATAGACTAAACACATCTCCGGAGACAAACCAGCAAACACGCATTCCATAAGCCTCTGAAAAGTGGCTGGGGCATTAGCCAAACCGAACGCCATTACATTAAATTCATACAAACCACGTTTGGTGCAGAAAGCGGTCTTTTCAGCGTCAGCATCGTCCATAGCTATCTGCCAAAACCCACTAGCCAAGTCAAGTACAGTGAAGTATTTAGAACCGCACAAAGAGTCCAAAGTATCGTCAATTCTCGGCAGCGGATACGCGTCTTTGATGGTGACGTCGTTAAGTTGTCTGAAATCTATACAGTACCTATAGCTACCATCCTTCTTTGGCACCATCACAACAGGTGAGGCCCAAGGACTTTTGGATGGCTTAACTATGTCATGTTCAATCATTTCGTCCAAAGCCTTGTCATATTCAGTCTGTTTAGACAAAGGCACACGTCTAACAGGTTGTTTGATGGGTCGGGGATTTCCGGTGTCAATTTTATGCTTTATGACTTCTGTCTTTCCTAAATCAAATTTGGATTTTGCAAAAACATCTTGATTTTGCAACAGAAAATACTTAACTCTAGTACGGTCACAGTCGGACAAGTTTTCTGTCGAATTGTCAATCAGATGTCTTAAATGGTTGGGTATATCTTCGTCCGTCTTTTCGGGAGATTGGTATTCAATGTCACCAGCTGCAATGTTATTTCCAGGCACTAATTTAGGCCTTACTACAACATCGTCATGAGAGCATAGGGCGTGCCCTGGACAATCATTCATCCTATCCGTGTAGGGCTGAACGAGGTGCACGTTAGGCGCGTCATCTAAGGACTTTTCAGCTTCACTTTTCAGCGCCTCGCCAGCTACAGCAGTGCAGGGGGTCAGACCTAAACGTTTTCTCGGATCCCCAGTTAGGAACGCTCAAAAGCATAGAGGATGTTCAGTCTCTGAATGACCGTCATCATAGCGTCGAGACTCCTCCGGCTCGTCGCCACTGTCGCGAGGTAAAAGGTCAGGTCGTAGTCTAGCAAGTTTGCCCTTCACCACCTGAGTAACATTTTCCATTGATTTACCAACCTCCCCAAAAGCACCACCTTCAACATCAACTTTTTCCCCACAAGAAGCAACGAGATTCCCCACATCGAATATTGGTTCCCCAGTTGCTACTGCAGTATTCTTGTAAAGGAACAAGGGTTCTAAACTAAGATTAGCCAATCTAATTGGAATGAAAGGTTGACTAGGGTCAACAAGGGATTTGGCAACAATCAGGGGAGGAAATTTTTCTCTATCTGCCAAATTCCCATTCATTTCAATTAACAGTAGTGTATCACCCAAGTGTTGACATTGTGCTTTTCCGGGAACAATCATTTCTGTCATGGGAGGCACTCTGACAGTATCCTGCATTAAAATTCGGCACTTGATAGACAAATCAGTCTCTAATATACAATCAAAATCTTTGCCATGCATAGTCAACAGTGCATCCCCGACATTAAGGATTGCCTTTTGATTCTTTAAAAAATCATAGCCTAACACAGCTGGAGTGGTTATGTCGGCCACTAATAATGTTTGAACCACCCGTATACCCTGACCTAAATAAAATCCACATTCAATTCTACCATGACACTTTACTTTGTTACCATTTGCCACGGATATATTCAAATTGCTTGTTTTACATTGTTCAAACACTCCTAATAATTTGCTAGTTTCAGTCGACAATATGCTCACATTTGCACCGGTATCGATTAATGCAGGAACAGTAATTTCCCCAAAGTTCAATTGCAAATATAAGCCATTGTAACGACTATCGGTCAAATGATTAAATATATAGGGTCTTTTGGAATCATTAGTCGAAGTCTGACCCTGCGACTCGACTAATGGCCGTTTCCCGAAACGTTTTAAATCTGCTTACGAGGACATTCGGGAAAATAATGATCTGAACTTCCACATATCCAACAACAACGAGCGCCACCTTTAGAATTGGGATGTTTCTTTGGGCAATGCATAGTTAGATGCTCCTGCGATTTACAGATCCCACAGGGACGAGGTTTTAGATATCCGCGGTTACGTTCACTAAGAGATTTTTCCAAAGTTTGGAGTCGAGATTCCATCTCGGAGAATATCATCTTATTAACGGCAAGGTTAGTTTCAACCAATAAAGTGGAATTATCATCACGCCCAATATTCGGAGTCAACCACTTCGCTCGCCCTCTTTTAAAAGATTCATATTTTAAAGCACTTGTCAATGCTTCGTTAAGAGTTTTCGGACTGGTGGATTGGACATGCCATTCCATTGCACTATCATTGAGTGCGTCAATAAAAGAGGTCATTGCGAAATATTCAATGGTTTCTCGAGGGATATTTTTGAATGCTTCCCTCGATAAGCGCCTAACATCCTGTGCTAATTCTTCGAGCGATTCTTTGTGGCCGCGCAATTTGTTTTTCAATTTTGCCCTCGAAGTTTCATTTTGCTCCGGAGGCTCAAAACGATACCTAAGGGCACCTACAAGCAATTGATAATCAAAACGGTCTTCTAAACTTAAATCGGCTAAAATGGCCAAAGCAGTGCCCTCCAAATGACCCACAAGTTGTAAAGCCTTTGCCCGGTTATCCCATCCATTCTCATACGCAATGGTTTCAAACTGAGCCAAGTAATTAGTTAGGCTAGTCTTCCCATCATACTTACCACATTTCGGAAGTTTGTTACCAAACACACTGGCTGGGAGAGATATATTCTGTCCCACTCCAGCGACATTACTAATGGGGCTGGGTGCCCTACGACGATCATTGTCATCATAGCGATCACGCCCCGAACGGTGGGCACTAAAAGTATGATCGTTAGTCCGTCCTCACGAAAAATTATTGCTACCCGAGCTATCAATTCCATCGGAATAGCCTGAATCATTATATCTATTAGAACCGGACTCAAAAACACCCTCACTTTTCCCCTGGTAACCCGATACATCGCGGTTAGTGATATTAATTGATGGGTCAACAAAGTCACTATCCTCAAGGTCCTTTCCATAATTACCACTGCAAGGGGTGTTAGGGGGCACCCTCAACCCATGTCCACCCATTCCACTTCCGGTGGAGTTGGACCCATTTGCCCTTGCTATACTACTCTGGTGAAATACGGAATCTGAAAATTGTACATGATTTTTGGATAACCCAACCCCCTGATTAAAGATGGGCTTCCGTGTAACGTTAGATGATAATTCTGGCTCTGCAATATGTCCACCAGACTTAGGAATACTAATTTGAGACGATAACAAAGGCCTCTTATTAATCGCCCCAATTCCCACATGATGGTTCTCCGTGCGCGATGGCATAGGCGTAGATACGCGGTTTACAGGATTTTTCACAGGCATTGTCATTGATGTCCGAGCGGGCGTGGATGTACGCCTATTCAGGTCATCATTAAATAATTTTGCTGCCTGATCATTATCAGAGAAAATGGTAAATTCCTCCTGCCTTTGCAACGGGGGAGGAAGATGCCATTTTCCAAAGGGAGCAGAACGGGAACGGTTACCCTGTGCACGAGCACCGTTATCGCTACCGCTAGCCTTTTGAGTTTCTTCCGCGTCATCCGGATCAGTTTTAACGTCTGGCATTATATTTTCCTTATCGAGCAAATAAGATTTATCATCAACATTCAATTCCGTTTTCACAATAGTGGGCCTAGGGTTTATGCGTTCCCCCGTATCCCCCTCACTAGTGGTTGTCGTGACCTTGTCCCAGGACAGAGTGGTATCGTCTGGGGGGCCTGTTTCTCTTAATGGGTGCAGCCCGCCAAATTCCACCTCCCCGTCCCGGTAATTCAAAATGGTTACAGACTCCTCGACATCCTGTCGAGAAGGCTGGGTAACAATTCCATCCCCCACAGCTGACGGTGAGCTATCCTCGAGATGTTGTTCCATTATTAAATATTAGTCACGTGATCACTTATTGTCTTTAAGATCAATTACACCGCACTCAGCAAGATAAAAATTTGAACTAATTCACCAAACTATTTGTACAACAAAGCAAGCAAGCAAATCACTTAATAATCTTAATTAAGATCGTTAAAATTTAATTGGTAAATCCAACCCAATTTAAGTGAATGATTTATAAAAATTAAAAAGATTTCAACTCCCCTTTTATTGTTATTCAAAGCTATTATCTGAAAACACACTAAAATCTCAATGGTAAAGAATCTTGTGGTCGGGGTACTATAATACCAAAAGGTAATAAATTACGGCCAAATCAGCAAGTGTTCAAGATCAAAGGTCGACTTAACCTTACGCTGGGAGTAAAATGAGTCACTATTGAATAAAATTTCAATCCCAGAACAGAATAAAGTATGGAAATGTTCAAATAAAAATTGTTTTATATTAATTATTCCTACTGCTAACTTAGCTCAAAATCAAAATATTCTTTAAAAGTCTTTAATTAATTGTTCAGAAGTAGGAGTGTAATAAACTATGTACACAATTGAACGAGGTTTAAATTTCAAATTCCCGATAACATGAGACAGTGTGTATATATTCCTGCACAACTGTACAGATATAGCAACTTAAATAACTTATAACCAAAAACAATGTCAAATGTACGTGAAATATATCAGCGATCTCTGATTAATAAACGGTTAAGCGAGAGATTTACAAGCACATTCACCACCACCACGATTAGTGTAAATTAAACTAAAATCCAAGCAAAAGTAATTTAAATGAAAAAGTATGAGAGGGTTCCTTAAAAGAAGTGTTTAAGAATATCTCACCAGAGCTGCCACCATTATAAAATACCATCCAATAACCCGGAAGTGAATTATAGAAATATAGGTAGCGTGAGCCAGAACAAAGGGAAATTGGACTAGTACTTCATAAGAAATTACTAATGAGGTAAGTGATGAATCGGTGTCGGGAATATGATAGAATGATAGGTCTAGTGTAAAAGGGTGAAGTTACAAGGTGAAATATAAACCTACACAAATACAACACAGCAAGCTAAAAAGAATAAGGGATTAGGTACTTTAAATATCACCACACCAACTACCAACTAATAGTAAATCACACAAGAAATATATTCATTCAATAAAGTCTATTCTATTATACTTGCGTTTCATGTCACAACTGAAATATATATGTACAATGCGAATAAATAGTATTTAAATTATATAGATTATAATTTACATAAATGCTTAGTGTCTTTAAATCTATTAGGATGAAATTAATCTCAATAACGCTGAAATCTGCAGTCTGATAAAATGTCTTCAAAATTATGACCGGGATACTACTTCAAATCAGAAGAGAATTGCCAACAACGATCTTGTAATAAAGTTGAATTTTATGCCCTCTATAAATTCAGTCGGGAACTAAAAACATGAAAAGTGACGTCAGATATGCGTTAAAAGCCCGAACGAGATTTTGATAAATGGGAAAGAGCTGTGAACTTTCAACCGTCAAAGACTAAGGGTGTTATTTTAAACACCAGAGGTGCGAACTCGATGGAATGTGCCCGTAAGGACTTCTTTCAATTACAATCAAGTTCAAGTTCAAGTTAAAAGCTGTCTAGGATACAATAATCCACAAAGATGCTCAAGTTTCAATGAATGAATCTAGACTTCAAAAGTGACGTATGTGATCACGTGACTAAGTCGTCTGCTTTAAGTTATGATTTAATTTGACCAATAATTCCCTTAATTGATAACTCGAATCTCTATTCTGTACTATCTTGAACCTTCCCAGCATATGGGCTTATCGGGACAAACTCCCAATCTTGTTCAACTGTTACAGACTGCAGATAACACCGTTAGGAAATACGTGCGGGAAAAATGAAAGTTTTGAAATGTTTTCTCAAAGTTCAATTATCGATCAATATTACTGTCTTAAATCTCTTCACTCCCTAATGGAATGCTATAGATTTCTATACAGTACTGAAAATCAACTAACCCAAACGCCAACACCCCGTTTTCCGTCAAAGATCACGTTCATAGCTCAACCGATCAAATCTAAGGATACTGTGCTGTCAGGCTGTAGCGAGTATTTTCCGAATCTTAGGTTCAGCAGTGCAGGAATTGTTACATTGTATCTGCGAAAGACACTTGTTTATATAGCAACAGATGGACATACGCAATCTTGGAGACGACGTAGGTAAAAATATATGTAATGTTGCTAAAAATGGGATATTACCAAGGTTTTTAGAACTATGTAGGGTAGAAAAAAGGGCAGAAAGAGCAGCTTATTGGACAAGAATTATGAGGTAGGGACTGAGAAAATGATGTCACTTTGAAAAGTGACGCAAAGTTGAGACTGCAAATTCAGCGTTTTACAATGATAAATAGGTTTTTTCTATAAATATACTGGCTCTGATACGATGGTCCAGGTCTACGTATTGCAATAATATGATCATGTTAAAGGGACATGATATGGTTAAATACTGATTATAGATATTAAAGGGGCACACACTGATTAAATATATTATAATAAAATAGCTATATACAGGGTGGGTCTCTACACAAGAAATATATTCATACAATTAAGTCTATTCTATTATACTTGCGTTTTATGTCGCAACTGAAAGATATATGTACAATGTGAATAAATACTATTCAGATTATTTAGATTATAGTTTTACATGAATGTTAAATATCTTTAAATCTATTGGAAATGAAATTAATCTCAATAACGCTGAAATCTGCAGTCTGTTAAAAATGTCTTTAAAATTATGTCCGGGATACTACTTCAAACCAGAACAGAATTTTCACTAACAATTTCACAGTATGATCGTATTTTATGCCCTCTATAAATTCAGTTAGGAACCAAAAGCATGAAAAGTGACGTCAGAATGCCTTAAAAACCCGAACAAGATTTTGATTGATGTAAAAGAGTTGTGAACTTTCAACTGCTGTAACCTAGGGTTGTTATTCTAAACACCAGAGGTGTTAATTCAATGGAATGTGCCCGTTAAGTCTAATTTCAAGTTCAAGTTCAAGTTAAAAGCCGTCTACGATACTACAGCACACCGAAATGGTCAAGTTTTATGAATGAATTTGGATTTCAAAAGTGACGTAGGTGATCACGTGACTAAGTCGTCTGCTTCTCCCAAAGTTATAATTTGATCAATAATTCCCTTTGATTGATAACGTGAATCTCTATTCTGTACTATCTTGAACCTTCCCAGCATATGGGCTTATTGAGACAAACTCCCAATCTTGTTCAACTTTTACAGACTGCAGATAACACCGTTAGAAAATATGTGCGGGAAAAATGAAAGTTTCAAAATGTTTCCTCAAAGTTCAATTACGATTCAATTACTGTCTTAAATCTCTCCACTTCTCTAATAAGTGCTATAGATCTCTATACAGTACTAAGATTTACTTACCCAGACGCCAACCCCTCTTTTGTTATCAAAAATCACACTCATCTGTAAGTTTCCGTCTTGTCAGGATCAGGATAGTTAGCAGGTGTATTTGTCGGATCTCGAGTTCAGCTGTGCGGGAATCGTTACATTGTATCCGCAAAATACACTTGTTTATATAGTAACAAATGGACATACGTAATCTTGGGGACGACGTAGGGAGAAATATATGTAATGTTACTAAAAATGGGACATTACCAAGATTTTTAGGGCTACGTAGGGTAGTACGAGGGGCAAAAAGAGCAGCTTATTGGACAAGAATTATGAGGTAGGGATTAGAAAATGATGTCACTTTGGAAAGTGACGCAAAGTTGAGACTGCAAATTCAGCATTTTACAATGATAAATGGATTTCTTCTAAAAATATACTGCCTCTGATACGATGATTCTGGCATACGTATTGCAATAATATAATGATCAAGTTAAAGGGGCACACATTGATTAAATATGATGTTATAAATAGCTATATACAGGGTGGGTCTCTACAACTACCCCCTTCTTAAAAAATTCAGGTTTGTCCTCAAACACAGAAATCAAGCTAATTAAACTAGCCGTAACACTGTATTTCTAGAATATTTACAAATTTACACAAAAGTCATCGAATCTCAAGAGTTTATATGTCATTCAAGATCTGGTGTAAGTCTAGAATCATACAGCTATTTACACAAAAATCATCAAATCTCAAGAGTCTATACGTCATCCAGGATCTTGTCTAGGTCTAGACCCTCCATATCCTCATTGTCAGTAAGCCCGGGCCCCCCAAGTAGAGCGGCAATCTCCTCTGAACTCATTCCCAGGAGTGGGTCTGCACTGTCCGACTGTAGTCCCCACACTTGAGGTTCATCACCTTCCGGTTCCGCCCGGGGATGCACGGTGGCTTGGAGCTGAGGCGCCGAGATCGATGCGGGATCGACCCCCAGTTCCTGGCCCGTGCCATCCCCCTCGACCTCTGTCCTCGCTTTCTCCACCCGGGGACGCACGGCAGTATTTTCAAAACAACAACACAGTTCGCTTACCTTGGGGTACACCTGTTATAATTCAATCTGATGGTTCTGAACCCATTGGTCCCACTGGTTGGATTGATCCTAATGCCAAATACATCCCCGCTCGGTCAGTTAATGAATCTGAAATCTTTGACGCCTACCAGACCAAATTTATGCTCGGTCATTCTTACAAAATCGGTAATTTTAAGCTACAAAAGGAATTTTACTACAACGTGAAGCGTAAACCTCGCCCTTCACCCCCCGCTGGAGAACCCCCTGCCCCCTGGAACTTCCCATTGAAAGCAGACAATTTCAAATATCGAGACGTTGAAAGAAAAACTATGCGTAACTTCAATCTGAAGGTGCGAAACCGTCCCTATGCCCAACAAATTGGAGTTGGTACTGATACTTTGTATGATACTGGTTCGTGGGGCAATTTAAAGATCAGAAGTCAGTATTCCGGGCTGAAATCCGGTATGAAACCTAAAGCAATCGAGGGATATGTCGGTGACTTCCAACAAATGACCAACACATTTGAGTCAAAAGGAGGCCCTAATCGGTTTTATGCTGATAATCATGCACAGCCATTCTATGGGGCCGGTAGTGCTAATTACTCAAATTACAGAAGCCCCAACATGGCCTTCTATCCAGCCGAAATGCAAACAACTCAAGTTGATTTTGCTGATGATTCTACGTACACAGAAGGAGAATTTGCCGAGAAATTCATCAGATATATCATGACCTTTGATGAATACAAAACCTCAAGGTGGATGCTCTATGGACGGAAGATAAAAACACTTAATCAATAAAATGGACTTTCATGGACTTCAATAATGTTTATTTTCGTCCTTATATTAAAGGCGACACCTATATTTTATAATTTTAAACAAAAGACAATTAATATACGCAACTATTTGTAATATATTTCTATAAGCGTAAAAATCTAGTTTGACCTAGATAATTCATATTGTACATTATACATATAATCAAATAAAAAAACAAAATGGCCACAAAAACACTATATTGATATCAGTAAATACGCTCTACATTGAGGCTCCATTAATGGAGAATATTGTTATGAGCTCCGGTCACTCAGGCCGGAATGTAAATTATTTTAATCTAAACACCAGCACTCTGCTATTCTACAGTTAGCGTGAATATAGCGGAATTTAGCCAATTCCTCGTCATTGTATGTGTCCAACCATGGTTGATTACACCTTTCACCTGCAATTACATAGGTATAAATGTATGATGATATTGTAACCACTTTCTCTGGTCATCTTCGTCCAAATGGTCATACCATAATTGCTCATATTCATCTGGCATATCGAATGTCACTTCATCACAATATAATGATAAATGGGGATTATTTGTAAAGAATATTTCACTGTTTGCTTCATCAGCTATACTGGCCGCTATTTCTTGTCTAGCGGTCACTCTAATACCACCGGTCAGTCACTTATTTTGTCCGAATTCATCCCCCATTTGAGCCAATGTACGCCCCCCCAAAACTATCGACTTACGGGAAGTTAGGCGCTGGCGTTTGAGTGTTGACTCCCCCATCTCCATGTCTGCCGCGCCTGTGTCAGCGGAGCGAATCTGCTTGACCACTGGTCAGTTCTTGACCAATCCCCTCCTCTTGACCACTGGTCACTCCGGTCATCCAATCAACGAGGTCAAAGCCGTCCTGTACTTGACCAATATCCATAAAATCCTGTGTCAATGACGTCACTGGGCTTAACATGTGGTCACGCCATTCATCTTGGACAAACGGATTATCATACATGGACTGGTCAGCGCGTTCGATCCCATTTATGTCCCATCTATCGGCGCTTAGCTTATCTTTTTGTGGTTCGAAGTTTGCGAAAATCAATACGTGGGGCACCGGAAATACCTTGGACGAGGACGCATATTTAGAACTGAAGAAATGACCATTCTTCAAATCCTCGAGCACTTCATAATTAATGTGTTCCTGTTGGCTGCGACTATAGTCCATAATTACGATACGCTCGCCGTTATAGCCATATTTGATATCGGCCGACTTCCCGTTGCTAAATTTTATAGCCCCATGGTTAATGACCAGCCACTTTGCAAACCACGACTTGCCCTTGTTGCCTGTATCGTCGTGATACCACATGACCTTACGTGGGTCAACATCTGCCGTTAATTTCACCAGTAGATCATTTTGCCATACGCGTAATGGCAATCCAGTGAAATGCTTTTGAACTTTATCATCAAAGCTCTCCTTTTTCAACATTTGACACGCACTGTCTATTGACCGCATGTGCCTGATATACATCTCGGGATCGCTCAAGCTTTCAATCGGTACACACCTTTTTCTATCCTTTGCGATTTCCAATAATGATGCTCTGCATTTACCACTCGATGGTTCACCAATCATTTCGTAATCACCTTCTTTCGAGCAATACGTAATGTTCGATTTTTCATCGCCTTTCGCCACCTCAATGTGCGCTCCGAACGGTATAATCTTTTTCACTTGATTCCACGTTTTTTGGTTCTTGTAGCCAAAATTAATGTAGCCTTGAATATGTGGTGTATCCTTGCTACTTCTCTCTTTCGCAAATATCGCAAATGTCCCCGGATATTCCTCTTTTAATCTCATTAAACTGTCGTACTGGTCATCTGTCCAGTTATTCAGAGTAAACACCCATCGAGCTGCTTTGTATACGTTCGGCATGATCGCTTACTATTCTAGAAATGAAAGTTGCTAAGTATTACCAACTTTCATGGAATAATGGAATAATTCCTGACTATAAAGTTCAAGCGGCCCACCGCGACCTCATTCTTGTTTATTTATGGCTTCTCGCGATAGCGAAGACGGCTGGAAATTTAAAACCAATATTAAAACACCATTAGGTCATGGCGCCCTGGAAGCGGAGAAGACGGATAACCCTGAGAAAAAAGCGCCGTTCAGCGAGGCGCTTCAGAAGATCTATGAAACGTTATCGCGGATCGAAGAAAAGATCAATGCGCTTCAGGAGGAAATTTATGAAACGGACTCTGAGGAGGAGACGGACTATGCGCCGGACAATCGTAGGGCCTCGATATAAAAAAGACCGCCGTACTTTGACCATTAGAAATAATACCGGCTTGGAGCCGGGGCGCCGAGATCGACGCGGGATCGACCCCCAGCTCCTGCCCCGTGCCATCCCCATCGTCTTCCGTCCTCTTCCTCTTTCGCGAGGGCTCTTCTGTCCCCAGGTTGAGGTGCCTCCGCCGGTGGAAGGCGAGCTCCTCAACCTGGACAGGGGTATACAACTCGGGGCAGTTGCCCACCCCGCAGGCAACGGAAGCAACGTGCGTGTTGCTGCGATGCAGCTCCCAGTCTTCCTTGCTTACAAACTGCTCCAGGCAGCGGTAGGGCCTGGTCTCAGGCCATCCCTTAGGGGACTTCCCCGGCATCTGGCACACCTACAACAAGATAAAACTCTTACCCGCCTATCCCACCACTGCCACCAATATAAAATACTAGCCCCGGAGTTATATAATAAGTAGGTAGCTACGACCGGGGATTATTAATGAAGCTAGCATTTTATGATTCAATAAATGATCGATGATTGTAAAGACAAAGGGCGAATTTTATGTCTAGATATTGAAAGACTAAAACAAACCAAAACTCCAAATATTGATAATAATTCACAGATGCAAATCTTTAACTCAAAAGAAGACAATGAACAATTTTACCATTCATCTTATTCATTAATTTATTTTACAAACAAAATATTTCACATACCAAAAGCTTACCAGGGTTCTCACCAGGAAATTTTTAGAACCCGGAAAAAGATTCAACGTTCGCGTCCCCCCCCCCCCCCGTGACTTCTGAATATTGGTTTGACCCCCCCTTCTTGACCCTGTCATGTGGTATGTAACACTGGGCCAGCAGAGGTTGCAAAATTGCCTCCAAAAATAGTATGTTTATTACTCCAAAGTAAACAGAATAGGCTTTAGAAGATCTTAAAATATGTTTTCTAATCAAACATTTCAGAGAAAAATTACTGTTTTTATGAGAGTATAAACATTATCATTTCTGTACCAGACCATGTGGTTCAATATTTACATCCTAACTTCTGATCATGTGATGAGTCATGTGATGAGATCAAGTTATAAATTGACCAATCATGTTGTCATAAACATTCAAATTTAAATTTCCCACTAAACACATTCCTAAATGAAGCTAATATAGTGGCTGTTTCGTTTAAGAGGTTCCTCCCCGTGATTTAATTATTTAAATCTACATGATAAAATGGAATTGCCAAATTTTATCGGAGGGAGTATGTTTATTGGAATCAATTACTCCTATTTACTCAATAGATGTCTCCCTTCATACCACATGAAGGAAACAAAAATGTCTTGATTATACGATGATTTCAATTGAAAATCACCTGTTTTTAAGACCTTATATTGGAAAATTAGAATCTGTACGGTAAGTGAACACTTTATCTTATGTTTTGAGAAGTTGTAACTCAAAAACTGAAGTTAAAGAGGATGAAAAGTGGCACTGAAAAAAAAATCCCCAAAATTTAGAGACCGGCGGCATTCATTTTTAGCATTAGACACTGGCGCTATCAGGTCTGAACATGAGAGAGATCGGCGGGGCGCCGGACTCTAAAAGCCTGGCGAGATCCCTGCTTACTATTAAAGTATCACTTACAATGAGGAAATCAATTCTAGTTAATATAAGAGCAAACATCAAAAGCAAAATCTGCAGTCAGGTGAATATCATAAATTCCTTAAAAACCTGAAGCTAAGTTGTTCTTAATAATATGAATTGATTCCAATCTTACTATAAATCATCTTTAAATCTCTTCCTTCATAAGGCTTTTAGATTTCTCATGATTCTTTTAGTAAAACAAGATAATGAAATAGAAATGGTATAAACTCTCATTAAAAGTAAAAACTGACGCTTACCTAAATAAGTTCAATTTGTTCCTAATTACCTCTTTTAAAATGACCATCTGTTATTCTGTTCTATTTCAAACCTATCACAGCTTCTGTGCATGTTTGACTTCCAACAGACTATAGAAATAATCAAAGTCTAAAAACATGAAACTTCTATTGTACTTTTGACTTCATTTGTCCTCTTATAGAAACTTGAAAGTTCTAAACTTTCCTTTTCCATCTTTAGAACACTGAAAGTCCTTTACAATACTTTTCATCTAAATCAAATTGTTGTTCCCATCATTTACCAGCCAAGATGTGCCCTTGATGATCCGAAATTGCTAACCAAAGAGCTCGTACAATCCTCTCAATTTATACAAGACAATTTTCCATTAAAAAGTGATGTCGGTAACAAAATGATGTAGGTACAATAATGACGCTAATACTATACTTAGCATATGACACAATATGACGTACCAAAAATAAAGCAACGTTTCAACTTTTACAAGGCTAAATGAAATGGATACTCTGACATAGTTAGAACAACTGCATCATGTTTTTATGACTCAAGAGTGTACTTTATGAGGTGAAATTGACATCACTTTGCTCAAATCAGCTGACTGCAGTTTTGACTATCTTACTATTCAATTGATACAATATTATTCTAGTATGAATATATGATTACTAAGCAATAACTGATTATATTATAATGAGTGGGCCTCTACACTATCCCCTTCAATAGAAAAATTGTTCGTCCTCGAACAACATGTCTAAATATATAAGTCCTGTTTGCTTTAGATGTGCTATGCAGTGCAATGCAATACATTGTATGTAATATGATACACTACAATTTTTCTAAACTGTTCTTCAGAGATAAGGAGCTATAAGCTGATATATGTATGTCTATAACAATTTGTATATACATGTATACATTGTATGTCCATCAGAAGGTTTATATAGTTCTTGGTTTCATAACCCTTAGTTGAAATGTTCAAAGGTCAGTTTCATTTGCTGGTGCTGAGTATGGTATATTTGAAGTCTCTGCCGATCTATGTAGTCAGATGTAATATTGTTCTTTAGCTAGCAGAAAATCTCCTTATTGTAGGCGGTATTGTTCTCTCCATCTTTTCTCATGTAGACAACTGGATTTTAGCATCCCATCTGACTTGTGCCAACTTGGAGGTAGCTCCAACTACAGTATCACTGCATGCTGCACAAATGACACTGAGATCAACACGGGATCAGTGCTTTGTAGTATGCATTGAACTAGAGTAGACATCCTTCATACATTCTCATATCGCATTATCGCTACCCAGAGGCCTTCCAAGGGTTCCACCATAAAATGGCAAACCTAAAATTTAATAAGATTCTAACCTCTCTATCCTACTTGAAGGGTTTTAAGTATTTCTATACGAACCCCCCTTAGGATCTTAAGGCATTAATCTTCTTAGGTTACTTAGATTAAGTCATATATAATAACTTGTCCAACATTAGACTATAGGGTGATCATTCCACCACCCTCTTTCTAATCTATACAAGTCTAATAATATACAATAATATATAGAATATAAGGAATTAAACAATACATTCTGTAACAAAATATGAAACTTCTTCAAAACATCAAACTCAACCTGCTTGTTCCAGGTTCTTCACAATTCTCTTTTGATTCATAACTTAATTCCATGAGATATATTTCTCATATAAAACAAATCTGGTTTCCCTAACAAAAACAACTATTAATCGCCTGTATATTTTACTTCTCTAATCTGAACAAACCAAGTCTTAAGTGGTTATCTCACCTCCCCCTGATAAAAGGCAGATTCCCTCTGTGAAACTTAATCTGAAAACGGTCTTGCTAAAGCAACAATACATCTATGCCTAACAAGTTTATATCTGTTGGCCTTGAAATTCAACACTGTTAAGGTTAAATGAGGATAATTCTCTTGGCCATGAGAACCATAGACATTATAACCTTGTGTTAATCCCAATGTAATTCTATACTCCAGATAGCACCATAATGATCAGTAGACTCAGTTTCAGTGCTCAAATTAAAAAAATAGTTAAATTTCCTTACCTCAGGTTTATCACACACTTCCGGATCAAAAGTTATGACATTGAGAAGTCTAGTCTCTGTCTATATGTAATCAATGATACTAAACTGTACCTCCCAACCCCAAGGTCTCAAAAGTTAAAGCCTCCTCAGCCTGTCATGCTGAGGAGACTGGGTAGCAATTCCTCAAGGGCAACATCTGACAAAAATTTAAATCTGACCCTTCATTGAACACCCTTGCAAATTGTGTGCTATATAACAGACAAGCACAACTGATCATCAATCAAGTATCAACCAAAATTAATAAAAAAAGGTCCCTTAAAACAAGGTTTTAAGAGCATCCCACCGCTGCCACCAATATAAAATACTAGCCCCGGAGTTATATAATAAGTAGGTAGCTACGACCGGGACTATTAATGAAGCTAGCATTTTATGATTCAATAAATGATCGATGATTGTAAAGACAAAGGGCGAATTTTATGTCTAGATATTGAAAGACTAAAACAAACCAAAACTCCAAATATTGATAATAATTCACAGATGCAAATCTTTAACTCAAAAGAAGACAATGAACAATTTTACCATTCATCTTATTCATTAATTTATTTTACAAACAAAATATTTCACATACCAAAAGCTTACTATTAAAGTATCACTTACAATGAGGAAATCAATTCTAGTTAATATAAGAGCAAACATCAAAAGCAAAATCTGCAGTCAGGTGAATATCATAAATTCCTTAAAAACCTGAAGCTAAGTTGTTCTTAATAATATGAATTGATTCCAATCTTACTATAAATCATCTTTAAATCTCTTCCTTCATAAGGCTTTTAGATTTCTCATGATTCTTTTAGTAAAACAAGATAATGAAATAGAAATGGTATAAACTCTCATTAAAAGTAAAAACTGACGCTTACCTAAATAAGTTCAATTCGTTCCTAATTACCTCTTTTAAAATGACCATCTGTTATTCTGTTCTATTTCAAACCTATCACAGCTTCTGTGCATGTTTGACTTCCAACAGACTATAGAAATAATCAAAGTCTAAAAACATGAAACTTCTATTGTACTTTTGACTTCATTTGTCCTCTTATAGAAACTTGAAAGTTCTAAACTTTCCTTTTCCATCTTTAGAACACTGAAAGTCCTTTACAATACTTTTCATCTAAATCAAATTGTTGTTCCCATCATTTACCAGCCAAGATGTGCCCTTGATGATCCGAAATTGCTAACCAAAGAGCTCGTACAATCCTCTCAATTTATACAAGACAATTTTCCATTAAAAAGTGATGTCAGTAACAAAATGATGTAGGTACAATAATGACGCTAATACTATACTTAGCATATGACACAATATGACGTACCAAAAATAAAGCAACGTTTCAACTTTTACAAGGCTAAATGAAATGGATACTCTGACATAGTTAGAACAACTGCATCATGTTTTTATACCTCAAGAGTGTACTTTATGAGGTGAAATTGACA